TATGGCTATTTATGATATTTATTAATAAAATGAAAATCAAATATAATTTGATATAAAATATGGTTTGATAATATTGTAACATAATATTTTATAAATAAAAAAGTTTACAAAATAAAATATACAATATTTGTAATATAAAACAGTTTATATAAAAATTAAAAATATGATGTGTTGATTTTAAAATTGAGATTTTGTTTTTTTTGCATTTTTGTAATTTAATCGTTAATTAGTAAAACACATGTTTACGTTAATAGTTATTAGATTATTGAACTTACAATTATTATAAAATATAAAATTCAAATGAAACGAAAAGTTTTTAACATTATTAAAATTGTAAATTAAAAAATATTTTTTTACATAAAAATGTGTTTCATTTTTTATGTATCCAGTTATTGTAGTTAGCACTTAATCATTTGTATAATACTTTTTGAAATATTACATTTAAAGTTTTCAACAAAATTTTTAATTAAATACAACAAATATTTTATGATAAAACACTGAATTAGACTCTTATTGACTACATTAATAGTTGTGGGTGTTATAATTTTGTAAATATTAACTGCCAAGATATAATTAACAAAATATACATATTCAGTTGGAAATAAATGAGCTGGATCATTAATACAAATGCACTTTCATGTGTTGGGTTAGGCAATAATTTCTAGTGAAACTTTTGCCGCAATTTTCAAAGTGACAAATAAATGGCTTAACCGTCATATGAATGCGTTTGTGTTGATTAAGGTTAGACTTCTGTGCAAACCGTTGCCCACAATCGCACCGAAAAGGCTTTTCTCCAGTATGGGTGCGTAAGTGAGCGTAGAGTTTGTGTCGACGGGAGAAGCGTTTAGCGCACCACCGGTGCTGACACACAAATGGCCGCTCGCCAATGTGGGTCAGTTTGTGGTACTTTAGGTGGGTGCGGGTCTTGAATGCCGTACCGCAGTTCATGTAGTCGCACCCGTAGGGTCTCTCGTTTAGGTGTACATTGCTTTTGTGTCGGACCAGACTCTGTCTGGATACGAACCGTAGTAAACAGCCTGTTCAATCGCACTCATATAGTCGTATGTTATTTTGTAGTCGAGGTAAATTAAGAAGTTCAGTTTTAGTAGTGTTGTAATTATTATTATTATTATTACATTTAATGATACGATAGCGAGTTATATTAGGTTTTAACTTATGTTGAATATTTTTGGCACTTATTTTAAACAATTTTATACTATTATTGGTTTGATTAATAGTGTGGTTATTATTGAGAGGTTTTAATTTATTTGAATTATCGGCTAAATTATATTTTATTTGATTCAAACGTTCATTTAATTTACGTAATATTACAACTTTTCTCATGAAATAGTTGAAAACCTTTCTTAAGACTGAATTCATATTAGAAAATGTTGTTTAAAAGTAAAGTAAAGTATAAAATCTTTAACTAGTTTACTAGTAATATAAAAGACTACGGTAAAATAGTTTTTCATACATATTCATATATTGACCACAAAAATAAATAAACCCTTCATTTGACAGGAAGTATGTCTTTCCGCCGCCGGAACAGACCGTCTGAATGCCAGTCATGTTTGCAATCATTTGTGGTTTAAATAGATTTTTAGACAAATTGTGTCCCAAATTATACCAATCATTTCGGCCCCAACTAAACACCAGTCCCTCTACTGTTACGGCATATGACGAGTAAACGCAGCAAAAAATACTTTTAATTAATTTTATAATTAGTCTTATTATAAGTAAATCTCAATTCTTGTGGGACTGGTATGCTATCCAAGCGGTCATCGCAACCTACCTGTCCGTACCGGTTGTAACCCCAGCCGTAAACACAGCCCTCACTCGTGAGTAGTAATGAGTGATAATAACCACAACTTATTTGTTGTATATTTTTGTCCGTAAAATAGGGTATCATTTCTGGGGTCAAGTAGTCTTTGATAGGGTCTCGAGCTAACTGTCCCT